TGCGGTATGCGGGCCTCTCACTTTTGTGGCCTCTCCCGTTGCGGAGCACAGGCTCCGGAAGCGCAGGCTCAGTGGCCATGGCTCACGGGGCCAGCCGCTCCGCGGCATGTGGGATCTTCCCGGACCGGGGCGCGAACGCGCGTCCCCTGCATCGGCAGGCGGACTCTCGACCACTGTGCCACCAGGGAAGCCCACAGCTGTACCATTTTACACACCACCAGCGGTGTGTGAGACCCCGAACTGTTCCCCACGCTCACCAAATCCTGGTTTTGTTAGACTTTTTAATTTCAGTCATTCTGGTGGGTGTTTAGTGCTATCATTGTGGTTTTAATTTGCATTTCCTGATGACTAATGATGCTTAGTATCTTTCAAGTGCTTATTATACATTATTTATAAATGAAAGTGGAATGATAGTGCAACAAACCGCTTTGTAGATACCTGAACAGAATGCAAGCAGCAAGCAAATTATCAGGCTATCCTGGCCTAGTGGCTGGTGCATCTAGCCTAGCAGGGAAGGACTTCTTTTGCTATCAATTTTAGGCAAGCAGCATACTGTTTTCAGGTGGCCAATATTCAGCAACTGACTTGTTTGAATACCGGCCTGAGACCTTTGACTTCATTCCCTTCTTTTTTCCTGATCCCAACAAGCCAATAATCCTCAACCTTAATTAACTTTCATCATCTATTCAATAATTTCTCCACCCTCCTCTCCTAGTTTAGAGTGCTGGTGAAGGAAGATGCAGAATCATCTGGGTCTAGCACAGGGCAGGTGCACGCACTCATCACTGACCGCTTCTCTCTCTGTCTAGGCACATCCCACATTGTAATTCCGTTCCTTCCCCTCTCCTTAAGCTCTTCATTCTGACTCAAAGTATATTCAGTATATAGTCATTTACTAAATTTACTCTTTGAAGATAGTTTTCATATTTAGAGATACTTTCAATTTATGGTACTTTCTGGCACTATTTCATTGTTATTATTTGCTGTTCACCATCATGACAACATTTAATGGAAAAAAAATCTATCATTCTACCACCCGTAAAAAATCGTGTTGTTAACTTTCCATATTTCCTTCCAGGGTTTCTTCTGTGTAGACAGCTCTGAAAATAAAATCTAACAGTCACTTGTTACTATTTGGCCCAAAGCATTATAGTTATTTATCGTAAAGCCACGCAGGTCTTTCCCCAGAATGCTAAAGATCCACAGAGAAGAAGCAACATGCCAGCCTGATACGGGTACTTACCAAGAAGGGCTGATGCCAGAACTGTCATGCCAGAGCTGCAGGCTGTGTAATTCCCGCAGAGAAGACGGAGTGCCCAGGAGGAAGACATCCAGTCCCTCTCGTTCAAAGACTGCTTTCTGGGAATCACAAAGATGATGGGGGTTCGCTCTGCCCCTCTGATCCATAAAGGGTGATAACCACCTAAAACGTGACAACGAAAGATACAGTATAGGAAGTTATAACGTGATTCTTTTGGTTTATCTCTAAGGAGAAAGATGAGGACAGAGAAAACTGCAATTAAATGAAGTCTTGGGGCCTGAGACAAGCAGAAAGAGCTCTTCAGGTGTACAGTTTAGAACCAGGAAAGATCACTGTCTGGGATCCTTGTAAAGGACAATTGGACACAGGGATATTACCAAGTCAGACTGTACCTCAATATGGCAGAAGACACCAAGTAACAAGTGAGGAACATTTATTTCACTAACGTTAGCTGTTGTAGCAGCCCTTCTTCGATAGCCCGTGGAGACCTCAATAAGGTAGTGGAATTGAGAGCTGGGGTCATTATCAGCCAGGACAGTGACGCTCACCTGCAGGAAAAAGCAGAACCAAGAAAACTAGCAGATCTTCCCTTAGTATAGACCCCTGCATCCTCCAGCTAGAAACAGGAGGATGCACTGCGGCAGCTTTGGCTGCTCTGTGGAAAGAAAGGGTGAGGTGTGGGGAGAAGATGTACACATAAGTAGACCTAAGTTAAGTGACAAAAGGGGGGAATAAGAGCTGACAGTCCAGAGTTCATGTCTCTAAAATGAAATATTCATGCAATCAACTGATCGGGTCTCGGACCTCTAAATATCTCCACCTCCCACCCACCCAGAAAGGGTTATCAGATAACATACAGGACACGCAGTTAACTGTGAATTTCAGACAAATGAATAATTTGGGATCATACTTATACTAAAAATGCATTCACTATTTGAAATTCAAATTTAAATGTCTTGTATTTTTATTTACTAAAAATGGTAGTTCTAGACCAACAGCCATAAAGAAACAGATATTTTGTGCATTCTAGAATTTACACATGTAGGAAAATATAAGAATAAGAAAGATATAGAACAGAAATTAGAAAGAAGCTGTCATCAAAGGATATTTTTTGTTTCAAAATAAAGATTCTGGGCTTCCTGGTGGTGCAGTGGTTAAGAATCTGCCTGCCAATGCAGGGGACATAGGTTCGAGCCGTGATCCCGGAAGATCCCACATGCTGCAGAGCAACTAAGCCCGTTCACCACAACTACTGAGCCTGCACTCTAGAGCCCACGGGGCACAACTACTGAGCCTGTGTGCCATGACTACTGAAGCCCGAGCGCCTAGAGCCCGTGCTGCGCCACGAGAGAAGCCACCACAATGAGAAGCCCTCACACCACTATGAATAGTAGCCCCCGCTCGCCGCAACTAGAGGAAGCCTGCGCGCAGCAATGAGGACCCAAAGCAGCCAAAAATAAATAAATTTTAAAAAATTTAAAAAAAAAAGATCACTTACAGGTTTCCTATATATTGCCGTTACATTAAATTATAACTTGACTTACACATAATTTTCATATCCAACGTATTAAGTGAGATAAACGTGCATTTGATTATAGTTAAGTTCTCTGGGTGTTTTCTTTTGGCTTATTCCCAACCTAAATCAATCATATGAGAGTTCAACCTTGGCTAAAAGAAAAAAAATGGAGATAAAGAGTTAAGTCCCTGGGCCTTGGGCCAGAAGATATGAAGAGAAATTTAAGAGAAGGCCCACTTGAATTCTTACACTACCAAATACCATGCTACCTGCCCTTTTTTAAAAATTAATTTAATTTAATTTAGTTTTCACTGCATTGGGTCTTCATTGCTGCGCGTGGGCTTTTCTCTAGTTGCGGTGAGTGGGGGCTACTCTTCGTTGTGGTGCGTGGGCTTCTCATTGCGGTGGCTTCTCTTGCTGCAGAGCACAGGCTCTAGGCACATGGGCTTCAGTAGTTGTGGTTCATGGACTCTAGAGCGCAGGCTCAGTAGTTGTGGTGCATGGCCTTAGTTGCTCTGTGGCATGTGGGATCTTCCTGGACCAGGGATCGAACCCGTGTCCCCTGCATTGGCAGGCGGGTTCTTAACCACTGCGCCACCAGGGAAGCTCCCTAACCTGCCTCTTTTTTTCTTTTTTTAACATCTTTATTGGGGTATAATTGCTTTAGAATGGTGTGTTCGTTTCTGCTTTGTAACAAAGTGAATCAGTTATACATATACATATGTTCCCATATCTCTTCCCTCTTGCGTCTCCCTCCCTCCCACCCTCCCTATCCCACCCCTCCAGGCGTAACC